ACAGGGCCCAGAGAGGCTGACCTGCAAGGACCCTTACAGGATACCCTAGACAATTTGTCTACTTGGGCTATTCAGCTAGGTATCGAATTCTCCACGGAGAAAACTGAGTTGGTTGTTTTTTCTAGGAAGCATAGCCCAGCACAACCGAAGCTTCAACTTTTGGGTAGGCCGATCACTCATTCCATGTCTTTCAAATATCTTGGGGTCTGGTTCGATTCCAAATGCACCTGGAGATCCCACATTGAGTATCTGAGACGAAAATGCCAACAAAGGATCAATTTTCTTCGAACAATTACCGGAACGTGGTGGGGAGCCCATCCACAAGATCTTCTGACGTTGTACCGGACAACGATTTTATCGGTTTTAGAGTACGGTAGTTTTTGCTTCCAGTCGGCAGCTAAAACGCACATCATCAAGCTGGAACGGATCCAGTATCGTTGTCTTCGTATCGCGTTAGGATGCATGCACTCGACTCATACTATGAGTCTCGAAGTGCTGGCGGGCATGTTGCCACTCTCTGATCGGTTTTCGGAACTATCCCTCAGGCTCCTCACCCGTTGTGAAATTATGAACCCACTGGTGATTGCAAACTTTGAGAAGCTTCTTGAGCTAAACCCTCAAACTCATTTTATGTCATTGTACTACGTGTACATAACACTGGATGTCAGCCCTTCACAGCATAATCCTCATCGTGTATGCTTCTCCGACTTCGGCAATTCAGTTAGTTTTGATTTATCCATGACGCGGGAGATTCGTGGGATCCCAGAACATCATCGTTCTATGATTGTTCCGTCAATTTACGCTGCAAAGTTTGGCCAAGTTGATTCCGCAAGATCGTTCTTCACAGATGGATCACTAATAGAGTCGTCCGCTGGTTTTGGTATTTTTAACGAATTTCATAGCGCCTCTCGAATGCTTCAAGCTCCTTGTTCCGTATATGTTGCTGAGCTGGCGGCAATATACTATACGCTAGAAACGATCGCCTCACTTCCACCAGATCACTATTTTATTTTTACGGATAGTCTCAGTTCTGTCGAGGCTATTCGCTCCATGAGGCCGGTAAAGCACTCCTCGTATTTTCTCATGAAAATACGAGAGCTTTTAAGTGCTTTATCTTTAAGATCTTTTGTCATCACCTTTGCATGGGTCCCATCTCATTGCTCGATCCCGGGCAATGAGATGGCGGACTCACTTGCTAAGGTGGGCGCTATGGAAGGCGATATTTACGATCGACAAATCGCCTACGATGAATTTTTCTTCATTTATCGTCAACAGTCACTCGTCAGCTGGCAGAATAAGTGGAGTGAAGGGAGTTTGGGACGATGGCTATATTCGATCATCCCTAAGGTGTCGAAGAGTCCTTGGTTCAAGGGGTTGGATGTGGGTCGAGACTTCATTCGTATGATGTCTCGCCTCATGTCCAATCACTATTCGTTAAACTCTCACTTGTTCCGTGTTGGGCTGAAGGACAGCAGTCTCTGTGAATGTGGACAAGGTTACCAGGACGCAGATCACATTATTTGGTCTTGTGCTGAGCATCGTGGAGTCAGATCTGAACTGTACGATTCCCTTCGGGCTCGAGGTAGACAACCTAATGTTCCAGTTCGGGATATTTTGGCTAGACGCGATCTGGAGTTTATGAAACTCATATATGTTTACTTTAAGAATATTAACCATCGATGGTAAGTTTTATTAACCTTGTGTTTAGTTTGTATTTTGTACGTGTGGGGTTTTTTATGTTTGTTTTCAAGATGAATAGAAATTAGTTCATGTTTTAGGATTAATTAAATATTTGTATCGTAAACCACATTTCAAACCTCCCTCTCCCTTTTCCCATCCAAAAAAATTGTAAATCTCCACTAACCTCGAGACAACCGCGAGTATCCGGTCCAGCTCCTTTAACTTTAAATATAAGACATAAATAATGTATAACGAAAATGATAACTCGGCTCTGTAAAGTTTATTCGATTGAGCCTGTACAAATAAAGTAATTAATAAAAAAAAAACAAAGTTGGCACTCGTGGATAATAGACGAACTATGAAAGTGATGATGGTTTCAAAATTTTCCACGGAGAGGTATACGAGTGCAATATTAAAATGCTTTTATTTTGTAAATGGAGCATTTTATTTAGCAAGTAGCAAGTATTTCAATTTGTGGGTACCAGGGTACCCTTGTCGAGCTCTTTAAGGTGTTTTTTTGTCGATCACATAACGGTTAATGAAATAAATAAATCTGAAATCTTTGCCAATCGTTAGCATTGCAAAATGTTTTCTACCATGACCGTGGAGAAAAATTAAATTAAAATAAATGTAATTATTCAAATGAATCGACAAAATCCAGAAACAACGCTTATGATTTCTATCAGCTTTCCCCGAGGATGTTTCTCGGATCGGGTAGGCTTCAAAAGTCTTCAACTTTCTCGGAGAAACATATTTTGCTTCTGCTTCGTTGAACGTTCGCATTTGCTCCCTTAACGGCTTAAACGTCGCACAGCAGCTTGTCGATCGCTTTAAATATAAACACACACACGCGCGCACTTTAGCAGCGGATGAAATCCCTATCATCTATTGAACCGTTTTGTCGCATCCCATATTTGAATATTTTATTTTTGTGAGCCTGTTTCAAGCTAGCAACTTTTCCGACAATCCCATCGACACGGGGTGAGAAGTTTTCGAATGAAATTAGAATTATAGCCTTACCCACACTTTCTTCGAACATTTAACGGCGCTAATTTTTGCCGACAGACAGTTAGTAATAGAATGCCAAAAAGCTTGTATAGAAAACGCTGATTAATACACCTTGTGAAGAACTTTCTTTTCCGACACAATTATGTTTAATTGTACATGCTGTGATTAAAACACGACCTTCATGCTTTTTGGAAAGAAGCTCTAAGAACTGGAAAACTAGAGATTTATTTTATAAGATTTCATAGCTTTTCTTCGAAATAAGACGCGAACGTCCGATAGGCAATGGTAAAGCAAGTTAATTTTAGGGAAATCCACCCCCGGGCGATAATCGTCAGCGCAAAATCTGAGATGGGTTCTGGGTAATTTAAGCCTAATTTAGTATCATGCAGTTGCCCGCTAACCCTCGGCGTACTTAAAGCCCGGTTTAGATGATTCAAACTTAATTGAACGGCGAAATAAACAACAGGAACGTTGGTCGATGTCCAACTTTGTGTACTCGCTTTTAAGTCACTTGAATGTTGAATTCAACTCACTTACCCCGTCTAAACTCGGCTTAAGGAAAGCTTTTTTTCCGAATAATATGGCTAAATAGAAGGACAAAATAAAATTCCAATGAGAAGCTGAATGGCTTCTGGTGAGAGTCGTTTAAAATAATGTCAAGTAGGGCGAATGGCTCTAAGATTGGGCCCATCGTTAAAAATCTGCTATTTATCAATTTTATCTAGATAAACGCGTCATTGGGACGGTACTTATGGATATTTTTGGTCGCTATTGAAAATATAGTCGATTGCTGAATTTATGTATGGGCCCAAATTAGGAGCATTTAGGCTGACATTATATCCATTTCCCCTATATAGTGCTAAGACGAATGGTGAGTGCTGAAGTTTGGTAGAATAAATTGCAATTAGAAAAGACATGGCAAGCATTGTTTTGCCGAAGAGCTTTTAACGATAGACACGGTGTTCCTCTGACCGTTATTATCGAGAATACTGCTCCAACAAAACTGAGCATACCAATCGATTCTTTAGATCAGCCTGCATCTGCGGCCCATTTTCGAGGCACAAATCTCGAGGTAAAGTCGAAACTTCATAAATCTCGTCCTGGCTGGGTTTGATTCCAGCTACGGTCTAGGAAATTTTTGGGTTGGAAATTGTCTCGGCTTCCCTAGGCAATAGAGTATGATTGTACTTGGAGTTCTTTAATGTCATGCACCCATAACAAATCAAAACGCTCTCACATAACCATTGCCAAGTGCAAAATCCTGAAATTATTTAATTTGTAATGGTTGGAATACTTGTGAATATTCCTCATTACAGCATCATACATTTGGCCGGTAGTGTACGTTTCATCCATATACAACCCAACTCACTGAACTTTTGCAAACATGTTAAATAGTACGTTACTATAAAATGTAACTATTGTTAAAGACATCATGAGAAGTTAACAACAAGTGTTTTTTTACGTTGCAGATGAGTGGATATTAAAATTAATAGTTAATATTAAACTGCACCAACCCCGCAACAATTTGTTATCATAAATATCTGCAGCATTACGTATTATCGATGGTGTCCATGTTCCAGTTATGTTGAAAATAAGTAGCAAATACTTAGTTTGAACAATCATCGAATTAGTTGAGTATGTGCGTCCTTTAAACGTCACTTGTCAGTAGTAATGCGGCATCAAATGGTAGCGCCATCGGTGCAGCAGTCGTCAGATTTCAGCATTAGGAGCCACAGGGAGCCACTAGTTCTGGACGGTTCGCGTTTGGCTTTCAACGCTAGCAGTTCAGCTCGTACCGCGCTCTGTGTGTGCATTTTTCTTCCCTTGCTTGCTACGTTCTGGTGTTCCGCCTCCCGGAAAATGCTTGTGTTTCAGAAATGCAATCGAAGTGTGTCGTTTAAACGCGTTTATTTTCGGTCGCTGGAGTTGTTGGTTCTGATTTCGGCGTTGGTCGCGAGTTGATGCGGCCGATGAGAAGCTGGTGTTCCCGAGCAAAGTCGGATATAAAAATACAATCAAAATGAAATCTAATTTTGTTTTTGAAATCATGTTGACAACATATTTTCATAAGCTATTTTTTAATTTCGATTGAATTCATATTTTGATATTATTTTGATATTTCTAAAAAATATAATCTAAAACAAATTTTGATATTTTATAAACAAAAAAACATCCACATTTATCACTGAAATCTACATTTATTTTTATTTTTTCTTCTTACGAGTCAATCAGGTTTCTTTATGAACATTGCAAAGAAAATTATGATTTTTACAGTGTTGTTTTACAACATTTATTGATATTAATCTACCTGTGAATTGAACTTACAAATCGATATAACATTGATTTCGTCCTGTTCGTCTGTAATACTTGTGCCTTCCCGGCCCAAAGTGTGTTTCATCCTTGTCAAGGGGAGTGCTAACCTGCTCTCCTTTCAAAAGACACTGTTCGTCTGTAATACTTATACTTATTAACTATCAGTTCTCTCCCAATAAAATAAATATCGTCATTAAAGAGAAATAAAAATAACTTACAAACAATTTTTGGTGTCAGTATTATAACATGAACAGTCCTTACTATATAAATCCGAAAACAGTGTTTCGACTCCAATTGAAAAAGTATTTGTATTATTATCTACTGTTGTTTTCTTCTTTTGTTATTGTTTTCGTTTATGTTCGGATCTTCTTTTCAAGATACTGCCATTTGATACAAAGCGACAATAGTTACGCCAACCACAGCTACGCACACCGTTGTGTTGGGTCGGCTGCCCTGCAGTGTTGATATATGTAAAGAACTTAATGCATTTAATGAATCTCAAATAGATTTAACATAAATGACCAGCGCGGTAATTTCACCACTTTTCATAATTATATTTTAAAATCAAATCTTGATAGCCTTTTTTATCAATTCATTTATTTGTCAATGCTTAGTTACGTTAGCTTTGCGGAGCCGTAATTAAATATTAACAATATTTCTTATGACTAAAGTGAGTAGAACGGGGAGCCGATTACTCGTAGCTTACTCGAGGTTAAGGAGTACAATTTTTAAACAGGTTGGACATGGACTTGGGAGTACATGGGGGTGGATTTTCGTTTAAATCTCCGCCATCGGTGAATAAACGTAAAGGAAGCACTGCTGTGGCGTGCAAGGGCTCTGAAAATCGAAAGGTGAATGGACGGTTGATGGGACAACTGAGACGAAACACAAAAAGGGCCTATCTTGGGAGAACGATGAGAGGACTGACACATCAATTAAAAAAAATTACTAAAGACGCATAAATTCTCTAATGGATCCGTTTAAGAAAATTGTAAATCAAGTTAGTATATATTCGAGATCGCGGCTAGCCAGAAAGTCTCTAACGGGTAGCGGATTATTTTCCAAGTGCCCTAAGGTATTCGCACAACTCAGATCTGGTAACACAGTATAAAGTACACCCAACCAAGGGATGTAAGATTCGCTTACACTCAAAAAATTCCACACGCCATCATCATGTGTCTCTCACTTAATTTTGCGCATATTGTGAAACACATCCATTTCATGTGTGAATCTTATGCTATGAACCATGCCTGAACACTATGGATTTGAATTGTGACACACTTGGATTCTATGTGCCTCATATGGTGATATCAAAAGCTTTGCACACCATAGTTCAATATTCTACAATATTCTACTTGATCGAATTCTACTTTACCGACTCTAAAAATGAATCGACAAATATATAAACAAAACTGCCAGAGGCCAGATCTTTCACATATATTTTTAATGGGTCTGATTTGGGATTCAATCATGGACTGTTGGGGTATGCTGCTGCCGGAGTCTTCGTTCGATCTCACTGTGCCGCGGTTGTTCTCATATATAAGGCAGGTTGATAGGATAAAGTCACAACTTTTGTTATAGATGTTTACCTTTCTGAGCAAGCAATTCACATCGTATTGAAATGCAAAACACTTTAAATCCATCTGTTTTGAACAGTAGCGTGATTCAATGTGCAATACACTTGAATAGATAGTGAAAGATTTTTAACATTTCAAAGTTTGAAACACTATAAATTAACGTGTATAACACATTGAACCAAGATGAAATACACTTAAAGTAAATGTGATTGTGCATTTAGAAAATCAAGTGTTTAAACACTTCGATCAAACGTGTGAAATTTTTTGAGTGTACAATTATGTGGGATTCATCATCAGAGGATGTTAGTGGAGACCCCATGAACCGAGGATGCGATATACCTAGCTGCGGTCTAATGCAAGAAAATTGGAGACCGAAAAATGTGTAGTGTATTAGTGAGTGAAATTAATTATGTCAAAAAAAAAATTGGAAACAGACTGCCGGCTGGACTCGAGCCACGATCGTTGCGATTATCAGACCTTTGCTTTCTCCACTGCTCTGTCCATGCTTTTGAATATGGATAGCCTAAAAGCAAACAAGAAGCGCTCATTTCCTCTACTACTCGACTTCGTATGCTTTTTCTGCTGGAGTCGAGGCAAATGTGTAAGTCGAGGCAAATGTGTGCGTCGTTCTACAATATAAATAAAAATCTTACTGGTATAGTCGAAAACGTATACGTATAGACCTCGAAATATAAAAAGACAAAAACCGTTACATCGCCTGCAAGGTCAACTTCTAACATTTGTTGCGATGTTCATGAACAGAGGATGATAGGAAATGGAACTAACATTCATTGTAATACATTTTTGGTTTGCGTGTAGTTTAAGTCTCCCCGCTTCAGTGCACTGTAATTTTGTAATGGTTGTAATTTTTCTATTGAATTCAATGAATATAAAATAATCAATTTATTCATTAGAATGGCTATGATTACCTGCTCGAAGGGTCGACATGAACTATACGCATTAAAAACAGAAAACATTTCTGAAATTGACAGTCCGAAGAACACAATTTTCCACGAGCCCTAAACTAAGTTTTGAACCCTTTGAAGCAACGATTAGCCATTATGCATATGTAAACTGAATCGATCAAACACATTTTTGATATTTTATTATTTGAATATTTAAAAGTTATTGCAGAGTACCATGTCTCCCCCGGATCAAGTATCCTCACCCTCCCCTAGAGTTTTATAGCGTGGTTTGCGGTGAAAGGCATTAAGGCGACATCTCCTAATAACTTGATTTGATTCCCATTCCATTATTGTGTTGAGGCCAGCTTGCTGTGGAATTCCTCGTAAAAGAGTGCGCTTAATTTTCGTCATATGACTCTCATCAAATTCCCTCTCTCTTAATTAAGGAAATCAATGTCCATCCTGCATTTGTCAAGCAAGATCCTGTAATTTACGCATCATTATAAACAAATTTGTCACATTTTTCAGAATTTCTTTGTGCCATCCAGGATTTGATTTTTACAGTACTCTCAGAGCTAACATTCATTAAATTTCAATCTATCATCAGCTGGTGGCATGAGATTTCGTTTTTTGTCGTATTCGTCGTATACGCGCCTGCCCTGCCTTTGCCATTGTTTGTTATTTCTACGCAGCGACGTCAAATAAAAAGAGCCTTTTGCATTCTCGCCTCAGCGTGACGAGACAGATGCTTTTCACAGGCTGTTGACAGCTTTGGTAGCCGTTATCTGGATCCGGAGCATACCAGCATCAGCAGGGGCAGCTCGTCACTGTCGCGTTGTGGGTGTCAAAAATCACTCTTCACCCTCAGCTGTTGGTCGGATCGGATGGCGGCGAAGCGTTTTTGTCACTCGTTTGAGAGATGTTTTTTTTTTTACTTTGAATTTCTCGTTTTCATTTAATTTATGTTTCTATCGCACCGAATTGCCAAAAAAAAAACGGTATTCTTTTCCTGAATAGCTGATGTTTGCAGGTTTAAGTTGTTAATGCAATTATCTCTCCAAACATCTTATTTCATAAAGTAAAGTTATAATTGCATTACTTTGAAATTCAACTTATCCATCCCTGAATATCTTCGTTGATAATGTTTGTGCTGTTGCTGAACAGCTGCACGGATTATGTACGTATCCACTTTTTATGCAAAAGCTAAGGGAGCAATGCCTCTTAAGTTATTGTCAGTTAATGTAGGCAGCGGCGTAGCGTGATTGGTGACACCAGTGTAGGACGATTTGGGTGTCAACCACTAACTAACAATGTTATTTTAACAGACTGCTTAATGTTTTCTATGGTCTCAATGTACTGAAAGAATGTTACACCTCCTTTAAATATACACCTAACCGGGAAATGCAACATTCAATTACAGATTTGCCTGAAAAATAAGCAAAATTTCCAATGGTCTTTGGAAGGTTTATAAAATAAGTTTCTAATTTTTATGTTAGCTTATTTTTCGAACAAATTAAAAAATCCATACGAATGAGTTAAAGTGACGCACAAATGAGTAAAAGTTAATCACTGAGTAAGATTCGTTTTCAGCGTACAACGCAATGAACACTCCTGTCAAACGATGACTGCAGTCAAACTTTCTACGTTTCCCTTACACTGAACCAAAACATCCGCAATACTTCGAATGATTATTGCATTGCCCGAGCCCTGTAACAATATGCATTCGAATTTCGGATGTTTTTCTTATGATTGAATTCGTCGTCAGATGATGAACATCCATATGACTGTCATCCAAATACAGGATGATTTTCGTTTGAAAATTAGCTTTTAAACATACGGTACTCAGAGGACAAACATTTAAGAATAGTGTGACATGCAAGTGCTTTTAATCAGATTTATAATTTGATTATCTACATTTCCATACTGAATAGCCATAATAACCCATTCCATTATGGATTCAAAATTATTCGTGGTGGAGAAAACCTCCTCCATCACGAATTAGCCAAACATTGGTTTTCATCCTTTACCTATGTTCGTTACAGCTCTGAAAACGATACATATGCTTCCACTTCGTTTGACAGCTCAGATCAGAAAATGACGTTCGATAGAATTATTTACATCATCGTTTTGAATGATTTGCGTTATGGGGCTGAACCAATGCATTTCCATTTAGTATGAAAGTCATTCTGCAGAGAGCATTACGCACTTCAACTGAAGGCCCTATCCCTTCTCATAACAATTTTCATCCTGTATTCGAGAGGAAAATCATCTGATTTCAAAACAATGGTCTGAGGTTTCATTCGATCAAAGGATGAGGTTTGTGTACAGTGTACTTAAGCATTTAGATTAGCATTCTATGCACTTCCTTTTTTGTATTTTGCTGATGTAGGTGTATAATGAATAGAAAAAAGAAGACAACTCTGATCCCTCAATAAACATAGCGAGTGAGCACGTGATTGGTTGGTTACGGCTAAACAATTTGATCAATTTTCAATAATTAACCATTAATAACCAACTAGCATCTTTGTACCAAACAAACATTCAACCTGTATAAAATGGTGTAATTAAAATTGAATTTCATTAACTTTTTTTTTTTTTCCTTTGGTTTGTTTTTTTCCGTCGATCTTGTTTTCCGTGCTGAGCACCA